CCGGTGGTTTAAATTTTGATGAGAGTTGATAAGAGTTGGCGGTCACACTCTTAATTTGTCTTTTTAGTGGACACACCAGATCCATATGTGATGCTCAGAGTTCGTTCCAGTCCTAACGCAAAACAACGAACAACGACGAAAGGAGATGACGTCAATCCTCGTTGGAATGAAACTTTTAAGTTTTATTTGAATCCTGAGAAGAAAAACATACTGGGTATGAATGTAACTTAAACCGACTTTCTTTTTACTGTTGGCATGAACGCCATACGAAAATTGGTGGGACATTGCCCAAGGACAAATTGATTAAATTTTGGTTAAATTAAGATAAAGATTGAATGAGAAATTAAATGCTTGGCATACTTAATTACCCCCTGCGGTTTCGACCTCAATACTTATCGTTGAAAGAAATATACTTAGGTACATAGCATGCATCAACAAGAATAAATAGTTTATACCTTTAGTAGAAGCACTTGAAATCCAGTTTTAAAATCATGACTGGATTTCAAGTGCTTCTACTAAAGGTATAAACTATTTATTTTTGTTGATGCATGCTATATACCTAAGTATATTTCTTTCAACGATAAGTATTGATTAGTGATACATTTTAGTGTAAAAAGTCAGAATATTTTTGAGCTAATCGTTAACAAATGTTATTATTTTGAGATCGAAACCGCAGATTTAAATTTAAATGCTTGGCATACTTAATTACCCCGCAGCTTTGCCGGGCTATGCCGGGCAGAATAAACTGAATACGTAATTAGCCTAGTGTATATAATTTATGCACTATACATAATTTCATTCGCTGGTGGAGGTATGGAGTTTCCGAGTAACCTCTGCACACGTAAAAATCTCACAACTTGTCAACAACATGTGTTCGCAACAGGCTTGTAGCAAGCTTGTCAGCAAGTTGTAACAATGCTGTTATTTTATCAAGTTGCTACAGGGTTGTCACTCGCGACCAGTGAACTCTAATAATAACTGGAAGGCTAACTCCTATGATCAAAGTCTATGATTCGTTGAAGCCGGCGCGCGGGAAAATCAGCTTTCAAAGGGACTAAGGAGAGTTTCGAGGAGTGAAAAAAATTCTGTCAAAAGTTTGTTTTCGAGCAAAAATTTGCAAGAAAAACACTTTTCCCATGGGAATACAACAATGATTGAGATTTAAACCAAGTTTCCGATTAGTTCCGACTGTTTTACATCTCTCTGCAGCAAAAAGTAAGGAATTTTGCTTTTGTATTTTGAAAAAATGACGAAAGTTTGGACGTGCCGAAGGAATCTCGCCGTTCAACTCAAAAATATATACTATAAAACATTTTGACAGTCCCAAAACTTATGTTGTACTAAACCCCAGGTATCGTTATTGATCCTGAGCTTTTAGTCCTTGTTTTAGTCGCTCTTAAACATAAATAAATATGCGTTTTTCAAGTGATGTTATTTTCGTCATCGGCATCTTGTTGGCCACTATGAGCACTTTGAATATGGCAATATTTTTGTCAATTTTCAAATGCTTTTTTTTCGACCTTAAAACGTTAAATCTTCTTGAAACTTCGCATACAGATGTATTTTGCAAGGGTATAAAAAATTCCTGAGGTATGACGTCTTAGTTTTGTCTTAAACTTCCAAAAACTCAGAAAAAGCAGCCTAAAACGCGCAGTTTTTCAGACCGTTCATGCTTATGGTCGTGTTTTTCGCATTTTTTTTGCTAATTCGTGATTTGTTTGCGTGATTTGGTAGTATAACTAATATTTTGGGGCAAGATTTTTCTGATCAAAAAATGTGCATATTTTGAAAAAAAAAATTAAAAAGGACTGGGTCTACCTACAAAAAAAGCTTCAAGCACGGCTTCAACTTCCCCCCCTGACTTAGCCTTCCAGTTATTATTAGAGTTCACTGCTCGCGACTTGTTGACAAATTGTTGAATTGCAGGACGATAACAAGTTCGGTTCGAACAACTTGTAACAAGTCTGTTGAGCTCCACAACCTTATAGCAAGTTGTCAACAAGCCGAGAATAAGCAGTGCGAACACATCCTGTTGCTACAAGCCTGCTGCAGATTTGTTACAACTTGTGCGTTTTCACATGTGTATAGTTTAAGAATATTATTTCGTTTTTTGTTGAGAGACACCGGGCATTTTTTAACTGTATAACTAATGTGGCATTACAGGGTGTTAGCCAGAAGTAAAAAAAATCCGCGTTTACCTGAAATTGGGAAATTTCTTTTAGCCTGAAGCCGGGCATTTCTTTGTTGGTCTGGGGGATGCGGTTGCCCCCTCTCGATTTTTAAAATTTTTGTATCTTTGAAATGGCATTTCCCGCATTTTGGGAGTAATTTTGAGCAAATGTAGTTATAAACATGTTTTTAATGGTGTATTAACAACAATGAATTTCTATAACTATTTTTTGGCTGACCCAAATTGGGAAATTGCGACCTCAAGGTAATTGGGAAAACCGCGTTTAACGCAGAATTTTTGACTGTAGCTAACACCCTGCATTAATCCCAGCAGGTATTTTGCTTGCCCCAGTAGTGAAACAAGATTTTCAGATGAACTGGGCCCTTTTGATCATTAGTAAAAAGTCAATGTTGTTGAAAAATCTGCATCTGCCTGCCTTCTCATATCCTCTCACATTCTTGACATTCCATCTCATAAAAGTGAGAACATGCAGCGGCGGCGCTGATGTGGGTGTGGGGGTTGGAACACCCCAGTTGTCAGGTAGTCAGCAAATTATCTAATCCCAGTTGGATAGGAAGAAAAGAAACTAAAACACTTGAGTGTCACTGATTAAAAATTCATAATTGTAGCTAATATTTAGAAAAATGTATGGAAAAAAATACGGAAAATTAAACAAACAATGCTGCGTTAACCGAAAAGAAAATGGAAAGTTTAATGTGCGAAAATTTTTTTGATTCAAATAGGGGGCTAGCACCGCCCCTGAGCACAGGTAACTGCGCGGGGAAAAGGCCCTCATTTAGATTTGGCCCCGTGGTTGCAATTTCTTAAAAATTTCTTAGACACCTAGTGAAAACCTATTTTCAAGTACATTTCAAGCTCACACTGTAGCTATGTACACTTTGCGAATCATAGCATTTTTTCGCGTTTTTCCCCGCAGAGCTGGTTATGATGGATAAGGATGTTGGATTAGACGATACTGTAGGCAGGGAGGAAATAGATATTGATGGTTTACCTGTGAAAAAAAAATTGATGAAGAAATTTTTTCTCAACAAGGTAAAATACATGGAATAAGTGAACGGAGATAACGAATATAGGGGAGACAAAAGGCCTGAATCGCAGGGCCGCAGCTGCGATTTTCGCCAGAGATTGTGACGTCACATGCAACATTTGAATTAGCAAACGATTACATATGACAGAAATTTCAGCCCGGGATGAGTTTCAGCCTGGGCTGAAGTTTCAGCCCGGTTAAAGCTGCCTGGGCTGAAAGGTTTATCCCGGTTGATTGGGCTGAAAATCGTCATGTAATCGACGAGGAATTTCAACCGGGGGTTGAAAAAACAGCGTTTAAGTGGCTTTATTTCGGTCTGTTCTATTTTTAAATGCAACCACAGTCTCACAGAAGTCAAATAATAGACATGAACATCATTTTAAATTCTTCCAAGAATAGCTCCATTTTGAGACTTGATCGCTTCAGCTCGGGCTGAGATTTCACGCCGGTTTAAACTGAACTTTGCCCGGGCTGAACTTTGCCATTAGAGGTGTGCATCGGATCGGATTGGACGTTTATAATCCGACGATTGCCTAATGTTTAAAATCCGATCCGAAATTGTTTAATCCGAATCCGATCCAAGTTTTGATAAAGAATTCCGATCCGATCCGAAGAATTCTTTAATAAAATAAATTTCTCATTCAAGTCGAAATTATTTAACCAAATAAATATAAAAACAAGAAATACATGTCAAGAAGCTGACAAAGTGACGTCCAATTGAAGTATCAAACGAATAATGCAGCGACAACCGCGATAATGCTTTGATAAATGCATGGATAATTGATTCTTGCGATAATGCGTGGATAATTAATTCATTTTATTTCGGATATCGAAGTCCGATCCGATTCGACTACGAAACAACTTTATCAATCCGATCCGATCCGAAATGAATATTTTGGTTCCGAAATCCGAACGAATCCGATCGGATCGGATTTGCATACCTCTATTTGCCATGTAATGATGGTAATCGTGAAACAATTTCAACTTGGTTAACCGGGTCGAAATTCAGCCCGGGTTGAAAACTCCCCATGTTTTAAAGTTTTAAATCTTTTTTAGACAACTTCCCTGAAAATATCATTGCTTGTCACAAGCGAGTAAGTATACTGTCAAAATAGCCTGGTTCACACTATCAAAGTGTCTGTGATCACGGAAGGAAATGGCAAATTCTAAGTTTTGAAGTATTAGTAAGAAATGTGAATGTAAAATTAATATATTTAATTTCTTTAGCGAAACGAGGGAACTGAGATTTAGTTACGACATTTGCGACGAAGAGAAAAAGTTTCTGAAGAAAAGGAGTAAAGTCGTGTTGAAAAAATTTTCAAAGCTTGGTCTGGGAGGAAAAACACCAAGAAATAAGAATGAGGTGAACAAAATATATTAAAATAGGCCCTATGGCAGAAATCGAACATGCGGCCTTCTGATTCCGGTACAGCGCTCTAAGCAACTGAGCTACAGAGTCCAGTTGTCAAGCTCTAACCAACTGAGCTACAGAGAGACAGTTGTCGAGCTCTAACCAACTGAGCTACAGAGAGACAGTTGTCAAGCTCTAACCAACTGAGTTACAGAGAGACAGTTGTCAAGCTCTAACCAACTGAGTTACAGAGAGACAGTTGTCAAGCTCTAACCAACTGAGCTACAGAGAGACAGTTGTCAAGCTCTAACCAACTGAGCTACAGAGAGACAGTTGTCAAGCTCTAACCAACTAAGCTACAGAGAGACAGTTGTCAAGCTCTAACCAACTGAGCTACAGAGAGACAGTTGTCGAGCTCTAACCAACTGAGCTACAGAGAGACAGTTGTCGAGCTCTAACCAACTGAGCTACAGAGAGACAGTTGTCAAGCTCTAACCAACTGAGTTACAGAGAGACAGTTGTCGAGCTCTAACCAACTGAGTTACAGAGAGACAGTTGTCAAGCTCTAACCAACTGAGTTACAGAGAGACAGTTGTCAAGCTATAACCACAAGTTCGTGTATAAATATTACGATGGACAAATCCCTTTATATTACCAACGTAATATATTTAAGCTGCAACCAATCTTATATTTACCTTTTCTGGCGTGGGATTTCCATCCAATAACTTGTACCTAACTGTGTCTCCACTCGGTGTTGTAACTTTATAATCCATGCATTTGTTCCAAACTTTCTTGGGAATGGAAGATCTCACCCAAAACCAGGAGTAAACATTTTTTGTAACAGTTCCATTTCTTCGTTTTTTGCAGTATGTGCCACAGTAATCATCTGTTCCACCCGCTGGACCAAAGCAGCCACAACACTGGTAATAAATATGTTTATCTTTGTTGTTAATTTGAACTATCATATGTACAGGGGCGAAACTTCGGTATTACGACTAGGGGGTGTGAGCTTCTTTTGCCCGACCAAAAGGGCGTGGCCGAAGTTGTTCCCTACGGACGAACATTTCAGTCGCTAATTAATTTTCCTTTCCTAAATATGTTGGCGAGCGGAGGAGGGCAGGGAGAAATTTCCGGACTTCCGCATTTTTCACTAACTTTCGAAATAATTTACCGTAATTTGTAAAAATTTTTAGTAATATTTTCGTAAATTTATCAAAATCTGTCCTTTTCAATCCGAGACACTCGAATATTTTTAAAATCTGCCCGACGCAATTGTATGGATATACCGGGCGATAAATTATATCCCAACCATGCAGGTAAGCGACAATAACAGACAGCTGAGGATTGAGCCAACTACCTGAAAAATATCGGCAGAACTTTGACGTTTCCAGCGAAGGCTGTTTGTCCGGTACAGACAGTGGTGTTGTACTTTCCCGATCCCCATTACTAATTACTCGACAAAGGGATTTCGCTCGAAATGTCGAAGTTCTGCTTATACTTTTCAAAATAAAGTTTCAACTTGTTTCCTCAAATTCGCAGTTATCTCAAATTAATTTGAGGAAATTAATTAAAATGTTGGTCTATCCTCTTTATTCATTCCAATAATATTTCTGGTAAAGACATCAACACGTTTTTGTAAATTTAGCCTTTCTGGCCAAAATCCGCCATTTTTGGGGTACTGTCTTCCCTCGTGAAAGATTCTAGACAATCAAACAACGTGAAAAGCGACTTTAAAAAGTTGTAACTATAAATTTACCATGATACAAACAACTACAATACTAAGAAGTTGTATTTTATGGTGCGGAGACTCTCAAACGTGGAAGAGGCGGAACGCCCAAATGGCAGTAAAATCGGCCATGAGAGACGCTAATTGGCACGTATCAATTTACCTTCTTTTTGTCACAACCAAAAAATGCCGTGGAATTCTGGTAAATTCCAGAAATTGACCCGGACACACTATAACTATAACAAAAAAATGATCTCTCAGTGAAAATTAAAAAGCTGTTGGCAAATTGCATCTGGTGTCCATGCAGAGCTTGGCTATATTTGTAAACAATTTTTTTTTGAGAAACTTTAATCAAAACCAACGTTATTTTTAGTGAAAATAAAACAGGGTTGAAGAATAGCGTCTAAGAAGCCCAAGCATTTGCCAATAAAGGTATGGTTTACATGCATGTAATGTAAATTTTGCTGCATGCGATCTATAATTTGATAACAACTTAACAAGGTCAAAAATTCCAACTAGATCCGGATTCAATGGTTGTTGTACGTGGATTTCTAACCTACCTGAACGATCCAGAATGATCTGTTTGAAACTTAATCACGTCATGATCAAAAAACGCAAATCCATGGCGGCAAGGCTTCTTCAAACACGAATTCATCATGCTCTGTAAATAGATACGATTTTATATTGATTATTTAAAACCATTATTTAAAACCTTTAAAACCTTATTATTTCAAACTTTCTGCAGTAAATAATACGAGAATCAAAATGTTTTCTGCACAAGCATATACATGCCTCGCTCTTAATTAAAGTGTATATCTACACATCAAGGAGTCGAAAAAATATTGAAATCCTTGCAGAACAATTGTTGATAACTGGAATGAAGAAAGAATCTCTCAACGTTTTTTAAATCAGTATTTCAAGAAAACACTATTTTTTAAATTATGACAATGTCTAAAATGAGCTAAAATGTTGTTGGAAAAACTTTGAAGGATCATTTCTCAATTGACTATCTTCAAGTCGAAATTCGTCAACGAATTCGTTCTCTGCGACATACACCTCATGGAGAATGCATAACAGAATAAATAACTAATATATAGCTTTGCTTTAACTTAAACTTGTTTATATTCTAGAAATTTTAATTACCCATCCAAAACC